AGGCAATGGATCCCTTAGAGGTTCATACAGCGCAGAAAGCCCTACATCGTAGCCTTGAAATCTCCTTCTCAGACGTTGATCTCGAAGTGCATCAGCTCCAACATGACAACCCTTTAGTTGTAAGAGTAATAATCGCCAATAAAGTTGTGCATTGTGTTCTCATTGAAAATGGAAGCTCGACATAAATTATCTTCTTAGCGTCCTTCAACAGGTTAGGGATCGAAAGGGAGAAGTTAGAACCAGTTAAAACTCAATTACTGGGATTTGCGGAGGAAAATTTTTTCCCAATAGGGTCAATCTAGTGAATGCTCACCATGGGTGACCCCACATGTCAGACGATGATAACTGTAAAGTTCCTCGTCGTAGATGTGTCGTTAGTATACAACGTTACCTTGGGAAGACCCTCCTTAAATATCATTAGGGCAATTCCTTCTGCATATCACCTGGTGATGTAATTCCCCACTGAGAATGGGGTAGGAGTAGTGAAAGGCAACCAACGCATCGCAAAGGAATGCTACATAACCTCAATGAGGTAGAAGGAGATAGGTTCGGTCCAAATAGAAGACCTAGATATGAGGGATGAAATGGATACAAGGTCTATCCCTTCTAAAGAGATAGATGCTATTCAGCTCGATGAAAATCTCGACCATTTGGCCTTCATCGGGTCCAAGCTCACGGAGGGTTTTAAATGAAAGCTGTCACACTTCCTGAAAAACAATGTAGACATATTTGCATGGGGACTAGAGGACATGCAAGGAATCGATCCAAGGATAATCATTCATAAGCTAAGTGTGGACCCGAGCTACAAGCCAATAAAATAAAAGAGAAGAAGCTTTGCTCTAGAAAGACAGAAGACCATCAATGAAGAGGTATCCAAATTACTCCACGATAAAGCTATAAAGGAGGTTGACTACCCAGTCTGGTTAGCTAATGTAGTACTTGTAAAGAAAACCAATGGGAAGTGGCGGTTGTATATTGAATTCACCGGCCTCAACAAAGCATGCCCTAAGGATAGTTTTTCCCTTCACAAGATCGACCTCATTGTTGACTCCATGGTAGGGCATGAACTGCTGAGCTTCATGGATGCCTTCTTGAGATATAATCAAATCAAGATGGACCTAGATGATCAGGAAAAAACCTCCTTTGTCACTGAACAAGGGACTTACTGCTACTAGGTCATGCAATTCAAACTTAAGAATGTGGGAGCCATGTATCAGAGATTGGTGAACAGGATTGTAGAGAAGATCAAAACAACCATGGAGGTCTACATCGACAACATGCGGGTAAAATCCCTAAAGGCAAAGCTCCTTATTCACCACATTGAGGAGTCCTTCTAGAGCTTAAGGAAGTAAGGGATGAAACTTAGCCCTGCAAAGTGCGCTTTTGGTGCAACAACAGGAAAATTCTTTGGCTTCATTGTTAATCGAAGAGGAATCGAGGCAAACCTGGATAAAGTAAGGGTTGTAGTCGACATGAAATCACCTACCAGCGTCAAGGACGTTTGGCGCTTGACAAGTCGGATTACTGCACTTGACCGGTTTGTGTCAAGGTCCAGTGACAAGTGCCAACTATTTTTCAGAGTGCTGAAGACCGCGTTTCAATGAATTNAATCCCTAAAGGCAAAGCTCCTTATTCACCACATTGAGGAGTCCTTCTAGAGCTTAAGGAAGTAAGGGATGAAACTTAGCCCTGCAAAGTGCGCTTTTGGTGCAACAGCAGGAAAATTCTTTGGCTTCATTGTTAATCGAAGAGGAATCGAGGCAAACTTGGATACAGTAAGGGTTGTAGTCGACATGAAATCACCTACTAGCGTCAAGGACGTCTGGCGCTTGACAAGTCGGATTACTGCACTTGACCGGTTTGTGTCAAGGTCCAGTGACAAGTGCCAAGTATTTTTCAGAGTGCTGAAGACCGCGTTTCAATGAAGTTATTAGTGCGAGGAGGCCTTCCAAAATCTCAAAAAATATTTAACCTTTTCACAAACCTTGGTCATCCCAAAAGAAGGAGAAGTCTTGACTTTGTACCTAGTAGTGTCTGATTTTTTGGTCAGTTCAGCCTTGGTAAGATGAGGATAAGAGGCAATAATCGGTATATTTATGCACTAAAGCTTTAAGAGGGCTTGAGGAAAGGTATCCAAAAAAAAAAGAAGTTGGTGTTGGCACTAATAACAGCAGCAAAAAAGATGAGGCCTTACTCTCGGGCTCACAGAAAAGAGGTCCCCACGGACTAGCACATGAAGTAGGTGCTCGGTAAGCTAGATTCGCTGGGGTGACTAGTCAAGTGGACGATTGAGCTAGGAGATTTCAATATTTGTTTCAAGTCATGAAGTGCCATTAAGGGGCAAGTTTTGACAGATTTCATAGCCGAATTTACCCTAACCGTAGGGATGGAAAGCCCTATCAGAGAACAAGAGTTTGTACTTGATCTCCCTATTTAGAAGCTTTATGTTGATGGAACTTCTAATGCCCAAGGAAGTGGAGCAAGTTTGATCCTAACTTCCCCTGAAAGTATTTAACCTTGAATACTCCTTGAGGTTTGACTTCAAAGCCTCAAATAATGAGGTAGAGTATAAGGCTCTGATAGTTGTCCTAAGGCTTGCATATTCTTTGGATGCACAATAGCTGTTGATCTACAGTGACTCCCAACTTGTGGTTAGACAAGTCAAGTTGGATTATAAAGCGCGATATGAATGAATGGCCTTATACTTAAAGGAAGTACAAGAGTGGTTGAGGAAGTTGTGCATTTTTAGGTCATAAAGCTTCCCCAAGTAGAAAATACAAGAGCAGACACTCTGGTAAGGCTGGCGTCCACGGATTAGAGCAAGCTCAGAAGGACAATACCTATAGAGCACTTGTTAGAGCCAAGTATAAAACAGAGTGATGAGGAAACATTGCCTATAGAGTCAGCAATAAATTGTAAATTATTTGCGAGATATGGTTCTTCCCCAAGACTCAAAGGATGCCGCTAAACTCTGAAGCCGAGCATCAAGGTTCGCCATGATTCAAGGGAAGCTTTAAAAGCAAGGGTTCTGTACACCCCTTATGAGATGCTTTGTAGATAAGGAAACTAATTACATCCTTAGGAANGTTCGCCATGATTCAAGGGAAGCTTTAAAAGCAAGGGTTCTGTACACCCCTTATGAAATGCATTGCAGATAAGGAAACTAATTACATCCTTAGGAAAATTCATGAGGGCATATGCGGAAACCACATTGGAGCTTTCACGCTAGTGTACAGGGTGCTCAGGCAGGAGCACTTCTGATCCACCATGGTGAAGGATTCTAAGGAGTTCGTAACAAAGTTCAAAACTTCTCAGCCACATGCTAACATTCCCTACTGCCCGTCTGAGCAGCTTATGCCAATTCTGAGCCCATGGCCCTCCGAGCAATAGGGAATAGACATCGTGGGACTTCTTCCAATAGGTGTAGGACGGTAAAAATTTGTCATCATAGTAGTCACCTACTTCACCAAGTGGGAAGAAGTAGAACCTCTGGCCACAATAATCAAGCAAAAAATAAAAAATTTTATATGGAAGTCCATCATATGTCAATTGGGGATCCCAAGGGAAATTGTATCTGACAATGGTAAGCAGTTTGATAACTTAAACTTTACAAGTTTGTATTCGGAGTTAGGAATAAGAAACTACTTTTCAGCACTCGCCCATCCTCAGTCTAATGGCCAAGCGGAGATAACCACATGAACAATAACCAAGGCACTGAAAACTAGGCTAGAGGCATCGAAAGGTCTATGGGTTGATCATCTCCCTAGTGTGCTCTGGGGGTATAGAACAATTGCCAAAACCATAATTGGCAAAACCTTGTTAGGGCTAGCCTTCAGAACAAAGGCAGTAGCTCTTGTAGAGATCAGCCTCCCCCTCCAAGGACTGAGCTATTCAATCTAGAGGAGAAAGATTGAGCCCTCCTGATGAACCTCGATCTCTTAGATGAATAGAGAAGTGAAGCCTTACATAGGATCAAAACTTATCAAAAGAGGACGACACAATATTATGATTAGCGGGTCGAGAATAGGAGTTTCAAAGTAGGCAACCTTGTCTTGAAAAAAAATCCTACCCACCAGGAAGGATTCCAAACATAGAAAGCTCGGGCCAAACTGGGAAGGACCTTACGTGATCAAAAGGATAGTTCCACTAGAAAATTACGAGTTTCAAGACGAGGAAGGAAGAAACTTGGCACATTCTTAGAATGCAGACCATCTCAAGAAGTTCTATGAGTAATAATTTAGGGTTTCAATAATTTCTAGCTTTTTCCAAAGCTATTTTTCTCTTCTTCGGGGGATTAACTTAATAAAGTACTATCTTGAAGTCAAAAACTTCCAACGTAGACAGATCCTCTAAAGTAGCCATAAGTTGCTCAGCTTATAGAGAACTTTAGCTCGCGATAAGGTNATAAAGTATTATCTTGAAGTCAAAAACTTCCAATGTAGACAGATCCTCTAAAGTAGCCATAAGTTGCTCAGCTTATAGAGAACTTTAGCTCGCAATAAGTTTTTTTTTTTAACTTATGAAAAAGACAAAGCTTTTTAGCTCTTCCTAGCGATAAGCTACTTGGCTTATAGAGTGCTCTTGCTCATGATAAGTTATTTTTAGCTTATGAAAAAGACAAAACTTTTCAGTTCGTCCTAGAGATAAGCCCTCTGATTTATAAAGCATTTTAGCTCACAATAAATTTTTGACTTATAAAACTATTGATGAGCTCCTAGCTCATTCTTGAGATATGCCCCTGGTTTATAGAGCATTTTAGCTCACGATAATTTTTTGAAATATAAAGCTTTTGATGAGCTCCTCAACTTATCCTTGATATATGCCCTCTGGCTTATAGAGTGTTTTAGCTCATGATAAGTTTTTGCTTATAAAATTATTGGTGAGCCCTTCGACTTATGAAGCATTTTAGTAGCCAAAAGATACATGAAAGAATAAGAAAATTAAAAAGTTATATATTACAAATCAAAGGTTACAAAAACCAAGATGTATAAGTAATCAGTCTATGGCCTAGATTCCCTCCTCTTCAGCTCCTTCACTTGCTCTCTCAATTGAGCATTCTCCCTGGAAAGTCTATCCCTCTCGGCCTCAGCACAAAAGAGCTGCCTTTTCTTGACAACCAACTCAAGCTCAAGCTCATCAAAAACAAAGAACCTACTCTTAGAGCTTGAGGATCCAGGAGTGGAGGGAGACCCGTGAAGTATTTTCCTAGAAGAAGAAGCCCCGTCTTCTTCCTAACTCTCCATGGGTAACATAAGGGTGGCAGCCAGGAACAGTAGCAGAAGTCGCAATAGGGGCTACGGTCATCCGTCTAATGGGCACCACCTCGAGTTGGCAGAGGTTGTATACCTGAGACACTTCGTCAAAAGCCAACCTTGGGACCTTATCTACATTAATTCGAGGAAATCAAGGGTTAAAAAATAGGAAAAACATATGTGCATTACATGATAAGGGCTGAGAGCCTTACCCAAACTCAAGAGATGACCCCAAGAGCGAGGAACTCGAAGAGCATCAGCAGCACCCTTGCCAAACACCCAGCCAGTCCCCGAAACGAAGAAAAAGTGATGCTACCACCCCTCAGGAGATGTAGGAGCATCATGAATCATTTTAGGGACTTGTATCCTCCAGGAGACACTATAGAGTAGGGAGGGAAGTCTTGAACTAGGCAAAATAAGGTAGAAACTCAAAAATTGAGGGGAAGTGGTCATGGCCGTAAAAGTGCCAAGTGACAAACAAGCCCAAGAGCAGGCCCAACCCCTTTGGAGAAGTACCTCCCAAAAAATAAACCTTTCTTGCCCGGAGAAGGTTGTAGGGCTCGTCTAGAGAAGGGGCATGAACAGAGACGCCCGTAGGAAACTGGTATTGACTCTGGATGGCTTCGACATCAGTTCTCAAAACAGAGCTTGGCTCTAAAAAAGTCGCCCAATGTGGATCTTCTAAGAGAATAAAGGCACGCTACGTAAAATAGGGAAGAGAAAGATAGATCCATAGAGATAAGATGAAACGCTCACCAAAGAAGGGAATGAAATCAGTCAAAGTGGCCTAGGAGAGCAAAGTCTAAAGCACTGGTTTTATAGCCAGAGAAAGATACAGTTCACATTCCTTTGGTCTATGTTGATGCAAGGTAATTATGGCAAGAGTATTCAGCCGCATTTCCAGAATCATGATGCTGCGGCTACATGTGGAAGTGTAACCGTCATAATCATGTCCTCTCATTAATCGCCATAAAGACAGAGTGATGGCAGGTGAAAATGCGCAACTCTTTAGCACAAGATCATATCTTTGAAGAATGTTTTAAGTACATGAACACGAAGCACCAGAGAAAAATGGCTTTTGTGTTCTCACATAGCACGAAGCCAAGTTATTAAGTCTAGAACACAACCTACAAATGTTAAGGTCAATAGAAGAGATCCTAAGCTGGCATTCAAAAGAGCTCAAGAACTTAAGATTCTTCAACTCATTCCTAACCAAATTCTAAGTTCCTAGATAGTTTTTAAAAAAGCATTCATTGGACAATTAAAGTTTTTACAAACCAAAACAATCATCATTGAACCGCTAAGAATGCAAGATAACTCAGTTTTATGCAAATGAAAATAGATACACACATCAGTGAAGAAACGATTGAGTTTTTCATTGCAAGGAAGGGGAGCAAAGAGGTTACACAAAAAGAAGAAAAACAAGTGACTGCTAATCAGCACAAGCCTGCTCTCCCTCTTCTCCGCTTTGGTGGAGGACCACGACTGTCATCGTTTCCTTGTCAAAAACAGGAAGGAAGGAGTTGAATCCAAGCTCAGGAAATTTTGCTTCAGCTTGTTTCCCATCCACGAAGCTATTGGTAAACTCCTTATTCAACAGTTGAAGTTCTTTTTCTTAGCCATAACTCGGGCTTCCATCTCAGCAATTGTAAGGGTCATAGCAGAGACCTATGATTTAAGTCGATCATTCTCCCTCAACACCATTGATTGCTCTTCCTCTTGTTGAACAAGTTGATCCCTCTACATAATCTCACAAGTGGTTGAGGCAATCAACTACTAGGATAATACTTCTATTTGGTTCTTGATTGAGGAAAACTTGGCTTCCCTCTTGTTCAAAAATCTTCTCAGTTGTTAAGCTTCAACAACGAGGGTGCTGATGTGAGTAGCAACTTGCACAAGCGAAACATGAATAGCTCAAATAGAGGTTGCCAAAAATTAATACGAGGAGAACAAGGACTTATCACCACCAAGACATGAAAGGCATTCTTCACCATATCCCCATAGCTTAGTGTAGTAGACCAATGTAGGTTGACAGACGGGATAATGCCTATGAGCTTGTGGCTGGCCAGCTAGTATTTCCCAGAAGACTCAGCAGGGCACAAGGAGGATTGAAGGATCTAGGAGTCGAGAAAGTCCTCGTATTGCCCGACTCAGTCAAAACCTCATTCCCAATTTTCCTAACGTTGACGGGAAGGTCGTCCTCTCCACCCTGCGGGTTGGTTGGGACTTGGGGCAGCTTAGGACACGAATAAGATGCCTTGTGTTGTTTCTCACTCGTAGCATCAGGGGTGTCATCCCAAGCTTGACGATGGCTTTCTAGTGTGATTATAACCAGAGCTCGTTCACGCGTCATTTCCTCAGCACATGAACAAAATACAAGGGAAGCTCAGAAAGCAGCAAAAGCTCAAAATCTTAAGGAAATTGGATGGCGAACTCACAAACAGAAGACCCAAGTTCCAGTTGGAGAACGAGAGGATCGACAACTTGAATCAAATCCCAAAAATACTTACACCTACACGCCTCAACACGAGCGAACAAGTTTCGCTCAGAGGCTGTCAAGGAAGGTGTCTCATCTAACACTCCAAAGGAGGGAAAGGATCAGAGAAATTACAGAGAAGAGGTGCAAGTAGCTAAAATAATCTCCGACCATGACTCAAATTTAAATTAATATTTGAGAAAAAAGTTTGATTTGATACAAAGGACTCCAATGGATAAACTCAAATTTAAAGAAGAAGAAACTCAAATTTAAATTTGGGCAAACTCAAATTTAAAAGAGAGTAAAGATGACTATTAGATCTTTAAAAGTGGCTGAAATCTCACCATTAAAGATTTAAATGTCCCTTGATTTGATTAAAAAAAGAGAAGGTTGGAGCAAGTTTTTTAAGTTTTTTTACTCAAATTTAAATTTGAGTCTAAATTTGAATAAAGGTTGGAGATACTCTAAGAAGGGCTAATAAAAGATTACCTAGCTTACCTAAATTCCTGGGACTGTTGACATAAGTGGCACACGGATGTCAAAGAGATCCCCTTTGTCGAATTCCCAAGCTCTTCCAGACACGAAGAAGAACCTACGGCACCAGCCCTTAAGAGGTGAGGCAAAATCGAAAATCAGCTTGGGGGATCCATCCCTTCCTGAGAAATAGTAGAATCCAGGTGAGGAAGATCAAACCAAAAAGAAATAGGAGAAAAACACTGGCATGGGAGGAGTAGATTTAGATACAAACTAATACCAAAATGCAGATAAAGCGACTAATAAGCTCCACCCCTCGATTAATAACCTAGTGGGGCAAAGGTTGAAGAAGTGAAAAACTAGTTAAAAGAAAAATGGCATAGGGAATCTAAATCCAACTTGGAAGGAAGACTCAAAGAAACAGACCTTGTCCAGAATGAGGGTATTATATTGAATAGTTGAAGGAGGCAATTCTGCCATAGACTTGTTAGGAAATTTATAGTGTTCCTGAATTTTGGCAACATTCACCCCTGATAACTCACTAGGCTCCGATGCCGGAAAAACCTTGGGTCTACGGTCCCGAGAGAGGCCTTTCAACCCTTTAAAGAAGCCCTGACTATGGTCAAATCTTCTTCAATGTCCATAAGAAGACACAAAGTAACTCACCTTGAAAGGGGCAGCTTTAACAAACTCTCAATGCTTCTTTGGAAAATAAGGACTCCAAGTGAAACTCAAGACAAATGAGAAAAGGAACGTTGGAGGGAGTTCCTTGGAGGGAAGAGTTTAGGAAGTGACTTTCATTTTGGCATTTCACCTACTTAACATGCATTAAAGTGTGCATTAAATGGAAGTGGCGGTATAAGACGCATGTTACGAGGATATCGACTTAGTGTGCAATTCAAAGCGCACGTTGAGCGTTGTAGCCTCATGATTACTTGAAAAAATCATAATTATCTCAATCACGTTTCCTTAGGAAATGGAAACATGCACCAGAAGCCAATACAACTCCCCGTGCAAGGACAATTCAATAAAAGACAATTTGGGGCAGGTCATCTTTGCTACAAGGCTAAAACGTTTTCTACCATGTGATATGGGACAATAGGTATTTATCGAGTATTAGTACGATCATTAAAGAAAACAAAGAGCAATGCTTCGTTACAAAAAACAAGTCTTTACAAGGCCAAGTCACTACAAAAGAGGTGTTTTCAATGAAAGTTTTTTAGTTCAGTTCTTATTGCTCCATTGTGAGCCCGGTCAAATCTGTAGGAACCTCTGGATCTTTCTTTGCAAGAACTTTTTTGAAATTTCCTTTTGTAGAAATCTCAAAACCCCCTTCAACATAGATAGCGATATCCTTCTCATTCTGTTCGGCATTAGGAAAGACAAGCATGAATGAATCAAACCCCATGTCAAGAAATATCTTTAGAGTTTGCTCTTGGAAATTGTCAATGTCATCTAGGAAATTGTGCATAGATTCTTTGGCAAGTTTCTCCTTTTTTGCGCCCTGAACTTTCAGAAGATTGGAAAGCTCGAGCTGAGTCTTCAGAACTTCCTCATACTCAACCTTCTACTGTTTTTTTTTCTGCCTTAGCCCTTAGCTCGGTAGAGCGGGCTAGATCAAAATTCATTGTTAGTTCAACGACCTTGGCGTCCTAAGATGAAGTCTTCTTCCGAAGCTTGTCCACCTCTCCACTAAGCCCATCTAAGTTTTCCTTGTAACCAACTAGATCAAGGGCTTGGCGATTGAAGCTCCTAAGTAGCTTTTTGTTTTCTATGTCGAGGCCCTTGAGAAAGGCCATAGACTGCTAGAAGAAGGAAAAGGATTAAATGCACACAAATACAAAAGAAAAAGAAAAGGTTGGAAGTTACCATACCACAGCTAGGACATGCGTGGCCAGTGAAAAGTTCTCGTGGAAAGGAGTGGTCTTTAATCCGCTTAACTCGTCCATTGGAACCATGCCAAAAAGAGCTTTGGCGGACTCGGACAGTTGCCAAAGAAAGGGAGCCCCAAACCGAGTTAGGGAAGCCTCGCTTTTTCCCTTGGAAGTTGAAGAGTAAGGGATTTGAGAGAGGAAGGATGGAGGAGAGAGTAATGTTTCAACAACCAAAGGAATGAGGAGAGAGCCAGTAGTAGCAAGTATCTCTTCCCTTCCCTTATTGAGAAGCTGACTTCTAAGTTCATGACCCGAGCTCTTTGAAGCCACGTCAGGCAAAGTCAATGTCAATGAAGGAAGGTTAGGCTTTGTCTTCTTGGAAGGAGGAAGGTCGATTTTTTTACCAACTTGCCCCTCTTTCTCTTTTCAATGGTCTTTTTGATCAACTCCTAGCTATGTCCCATCTTGATAGATTCTGTGGGTGGAAGTCTTCGAACAGGATGGCCAAGCTTATATTTGACTAAGTTCTCGGCTATAACTAGGTTTGTGAAAGACCTTAAGTCGTGCATTTCAACTCTGGAGGTTTGAGTAATCTCCTTGGCAGACAGGGGAGGTCGGTATCCTACAGCCACAAAATAAATTATTGGTTTCAAAAGAAGTAATAAAACAAGGAAGTACAAAAGATAAATGGCAGTAAGGGTCTAAGCTAGACTCACTAGTATTACAGGGGACGTCCTAGGTACAAGGAACTCAAGGAGTGTTGCCAACGCCTCCTGATTACTTCCAAGTGTCCCCGAAAACAAAGAAAACACTCTCATTCCAACCCTTCTGATAGCTTGGGAGGTCAAAAATTAGTGTCTTGGCCTTTACCATTTTGGAAAATTAAAGGAAGCCAGACGCTGGAGAGGATTTGAGGTGGAAATAGTGTGCGAACTTAGGCAGATTATGGGGAGATTCAATGCCGCATTCTCGTCTATAGACGAGCAAACCTACCAAGAGACCCCATCCATTAGGGGAAAGCACATGTGACAAATGTTGTAATGACAAAGGATATCATTGATGAAGGATGAGCTAAACATCTGAGCCCAGCCTTGAAGGCAGATACAAAGAAATATGTCCTTCCTAGGATGCTAGAGTTGCATCACTCCTCGACAGTAGGAGCATGAAACGACACTACCAAAAGAAACTCATAGAGATCAATGAGCTCTTAAGCCCAACTGTCAGTCATGCGACTTAGGGTTGAGGTTGCACTGCAAGATAGGTCAAACAAGTCATGTGAGACTTTTTTCCTATTTGGAGACAATGAAGGATTAGCCATAGATGTGCCTTCCATGTGTTTTCTCTTCCACTTTCTTAACCTATTAGAAGGCTCAATTTGAAGCTCTTGTTGACTTAAGGTCAATACTATGGGCACTAAACCTAGGGTAGGGGCATCTGAAGGTGGCTCTGGAGGGTTATTCTCTATCGGTGCCAGAGGGAAGTCCTTTGTCTAAATTTCTTCATTAGAGGAATGATTTTTCTCGGAGTGGGAACATAAGCCCCCTTTCCCAGAACCTCCTCAAAAAGATTGGGAATTTGAAGGAGTAGNCTTACCTAAATTCCTGGGACTGTTGACATAAGTGGCACACGGATGTCAAAGAGATCCCCTTTGTCGAATTCCCAAGCTCTTCCAGACACGAAGAAGAACCTACGGCACCAGCCCTTAAGAGGTGAGGCAAAATCGAAAATCAGCTTGGGGGATCCATCCCTTCCTGAGAAATAGTAGAATCCAGGTGAGGAAGATCAAACCAAAAAGAAATAGGAGAAAAACACTGGCATGGGAGGAGTAGATTTAGATACAAACTAATACCAAAATGCAGATAAAGCGANCTTACCTAAATTCCTGGGACTGTTGACATAAGTGGCACACGGATGTCAAAGAGATCTCCTTTGTCGAATTCCCAAGCTCTTCCAGACACGAAGAAGAACCTACGACACCAGCCCTTAAGAGGTGAGGCAAAATCGAAAATCAGCTCGGGGGATCCATCCCTTCCTGAGAAATAGTAGGATCCAGGTGAGGAAGATCAAACCAAAAAGAAATAGGAGAAAAACACTGGGATGGGAGGAGTAGATTTAGATACAAACTAATACCAAAATGCAGATAAAGCAANCCTCACCAAGGATAGTCTAAATAACAAGGGGAGATCGATGAAGAAATGCAGAGAGGCGAAAGACCCAGAAGAATACCTAAAGTAGCAAAACATAAGGAATACGAATCGAAACCCAATAGACCACCACTAGGGGGTTAATTATATCCAGATTAAGATAAGAAAGAGAGAACATNGACTAATAAGCTCCACCCCTCGATTAATAACCTAGTGGGGCAAAGGTTGAAGAAGTGAAAAACTAGTTAAAAGAAAAATGGCATAGGGAATCTAAATCCAACTTGGAAGGAAGACTCAAAGAAACAGACCTTGTCCAGAATGAGGGTATTATATTGAATAGTTGAAGGAGGCAATTCTGCCATAGACTTGTTAGGAAATTTATAGTGTTCCTGAATTTTGGCAACATTCACCGCTGATAACTCACTAGGCTCCGATGCCGGAAAAACTTTGGGTCTACGGTCCCGAGAGAGGCCTTTCAACCCTTTAAAGAAGCCCTGACTATNAAATGCCTTTCTTGAATTCAATATTCAAATATCTATTCAGTTTTGGTGGTTCAAATATGATGACGTATATCAAGGTGGAAGAGCTTAAGGTGAAGGTAATGTGAGATGAGCGTGGATCAGAGCTACGAAGNACATTCACCGCTGATAACTCACTAGGCTCCGATGCCGGAAAAACTTTGGGTCTACGGTCCCGAGAGAGGCCTTTCAACCCTTTAAAGAAGCCCTGACTATGGTCAAATCTTCTTCAATGTCCATAAGAAGACACAAAGTAACTCACCTTGAAAGGGGCAGCTTTAACAAACTCTCAATGCTTCTTTGGAAAATAAGGACTCCAAGTGAAACTCAAGACAAATGAGAAAAGGAACGTTGGAGGGAGTTCCTTGGAGGGAAGAGTTTAGGAAGTGACTTTCATTTTGGCATTTCACCTACTTAACATGCATTAAAGTGTGCATTAAATGGAAGTGGCGGTATAAGACGCATGTTATGAGGATATCGACTTAGTGTGCAATTCAAAGCGCACGTTGAGCGTTGTAGCCTCATGATTACTTGAAAAAATCATAATTATCTCAATCACGTTTCCTTAGGAAATGGAAACATGCACCAGAAGCCAATACAACTCCCCGTGCAAGGACAATTCAATAAAAGACAATTTGGGGCAGGTCATCTTTGCTACAAGGCTAAAACGTTTTCTACCATGTGATAGGGGACAATAGGTATTTATCGAGTATTAGTACGATCATTAAAGAAAACAAAGAGCAATTCTTCGTTACAAAAAACAAGTCTTTACAAGGCCAAGTCACTACAAAAGAGGTGTTTTCAATGAAAGTTTTTTAGTTCAGTTCTTATTGCTCCATTGTGAGCCCGGTCAAATCTGTAGGAACCTCTGGATCTTTCTTTGCAAGAACTTTTTTGAAATTTCCTTTTGTAGAAATCTCAAAACCCCCTTCAACATAGATAGCGATATCCTTCTCATTCTGTTCGGCATTAGGAAAGACAAGCATGAATGAATCAAACCCCATGTCAAGAAATATCTTTAGAGTTTGCTCTTGGAAATTGTCAATGTCATCTAGGAAATTGTGCATAGATTCTTTGGCAAGTTTCTCCTTTTTTGCGCCCTGAACTTTCAGAAGATTGGAAAGCTCGAGCTGAGTCTTCAGAACTTCCTCATACTCAACCTTCTACTGTTTTTTTTTCTGCCTTAGCCCTTAGCTCGGTAGAGCGGGCTAGATCAAAATTCATTGTTAGTTCAACGACCTTGGCGTCCTAAGATGAAGTCTTCTTCCGAAGCTTGTCCACCTCTCCACTAAGCCCATCTAAGTTTTCCTTGTAACCAACTAGATCAAGGGCTTGGCTATTGAAGCTCCTAAGTAGCTTTTTGTTTTCTATGTCGAGGCCCTTGAGAAAGGCCATAGACTGCTAGAAGAAGGAAAAGGATTAAATGCACACAAATACAAAAGAAAAAGAAAAGGTTGGAAGTTACCATACCACAGCTAGGACATGCGTGGCCAGTGAAAAGTTCTCGTGGAAAGGAGTGGTCTTTAATCCGCTTAACTCGTCCATTGGAACCATGCCAAAAAGAGCTTTGGCGGACTCGGACAGTTGCCAAAGAAAGGGAGCCCCAAACCGAGTTAGGGAAGCCTCGCTTTTTCCCTTGGAAGTTGAAGAGTAAGGGATTTGAGAGAGGAAGGATGGAGGAGAGAGTAATGTTTCAACAACCAAAGGAATGAGGAGAGAGCCAGTAGTAGCAAGTATCTCTTCCCTTCCCTTATTGAGAAGCTGACTTCTAAGTTCATGACCCGAGCTCTTTGAAGCCACGTCAAGCAAAGTCAATGTCAATGAAGGAAGGTTAGGCTTTGTCTTCTTGGAAGGAGGAAGGTCGATTTTTTTACCAACTTGCCCCTCTTTCTCTTTTCAATGGTCTTTTTGATCAACTCCTAGCTATGTCCCATCTTGATAGATTCTGTGGGTGGAAGTCTTCGAACAGGATGGCCAAGCTTATATTTGACTAAGTTCTCGGCTATAACTAGGTTTGTGAAAGACCTTAAGTCGTGCATTTCAACTCTGGAGGTTTGAGTAATCTCCTTGGCAGACAGGGGAGGTCGGTATCCTACAGCCACAAAATAAATTATTGGTTTCAAAAGAAGTAATAAAACAAGGAAGTACAAAAGATAAATGGCAGTAAGGGTCTAAGCTAGACTCACTAGTATTACAGGGGACGTCCTAGGTACAAGGAACTCAAGGAGTGTTGCCAACGCCTCCTGATTACTTCCAAGTGTCCCCGAAAACAAAGAAAAAACTCTCATTCCAACCCTTCTGATAGCTAGGGAGGTCAAAAATTAGTGTCTTGGCCTTTACCATTTTGGAAAATTAAAGGAAGCCAGACGCTGGAGAGGATTTGAGGTGGAAATAGTGTGCGAACTTAGGCAGATTATGGGGAGATTCAATGCCGCATTCTCGTCTATAGACAAGCAAACCTACCAAGAGACCCCATCCATTAGGGGAAAGCACATGTGACAAATGTTGTAATGACAAAGGATATCATTGATGAAGGATGAGCTAAACATCTGAGCCCAGCCTTGAAGGCAGATACAAAGAAATATGTCCTTCCTAGGATGCTAGAGTTGCATCACTCCTCGACAGTAGGAGCATGAAACGACACTACCAAAAGAAACTCATAGAGATCAATGAGCTCTTAAGCCCAACTGTCAGTCATGCGACTTAGGGTTAAGGTTGCACTGCAAGATAGGTCAAACAAGTCATGTGAGACTTTTTTCCTGTTTGGAGACAATGAAGGATTAGCCATAGATGTGCCTTCCATGTGTTTTCTCTTCCACTTTCTTAACCTATTAGAAGGCTCAATTTGAAGCTCTTGTTGACTTAAGGTCAATACTATGGGCACTAAACCTAGGGTAGGGGCATCTGAAGGTGGCTCTGGAGGGTTATTCTCTATCGGTGCCAGAGGGAAGTCCTTTGTCTAAATTTCTTCATTGGAGGAATGATTTTTCTCGGAGTGGGAACATAAGCCCCCTTTCCCAGAACCTCCTCAAAAAGATTGGGAATTTGAAGGAGTCGCCTCAGAAGAGGTGTCACAAATAACCCTCACCATAAGGGCACCACACCTCAAATCGTGATAAAGTTGAAGTAGATGAGATCGGCAATCCAAAATAGCCCTAAGTTCAAGACTCTAGAACCTCACCAAGGATAGTCTAAATAACAAGGGGAGATCGATGAAGAAATGCAGAGAGGCGAAAGACCCAGAAGAATACCTAAAGTAGCAAAACATAAGGAATATGAATCGAAACCCAATAGACCACCACTAGGGGGTTAATTATATCCAGATTAAGATAAGAAAGAGGGAACGTATCTAGAGATCAGCTAGGGAAGACAAGAAACTAGTAGGATGGTAAAATTTCGATGAATTTTGAGACACCTCTTCTTTCTTAGTAGGGAAGTCAAATGCCTTTCTTGAATTCAATATTCAAATATCTATTCAGTTTTGGTGGTTCAAATATGATGACGTATATCAAGGTGGAAGAGCTTAAGGTGAAGGTAATGTGAGATGAGCGTGGATCAGAGCTACGAAGCTCGTGTATGATGCTACCATAAAATATTCAGGGGATTAAGGGGGTGCACACAGTGAAAATATAGTGGTTCACCGGCTCAGAAGCTCAGCTAGTCCACTCTTCAATGGAGGTTCTTGCTCCTTTTGTTTTATTCACAATGATTACAAAGTTGCTATGACTTCCTATTGTCACTCGGGTTCCCCCCTCTGTTAGGAGGTGTTATAGTGCATTTATAGGGACATTCCCTGCTAAGTGGGATCCTGGCCGAGATTCTTGCCCTTACTTCGTGGGATTCTCCTTAATTCTAGGAGAAGATCTTGGTTGGTTGAGATTAGGTGCCTTGATTATAGCTTCCTAATACTTTAGGAACATCTCGTGATTATTCAACTGTTGCCTTGGTTGTTATTGCCCTTGATTATCTCAAAGGGCTACTCTTCCGAGTTCTGTTCGTCTAGTCTGACCTCTTAGACTGAGCTGGCATTTGGGATTTATTTTGAGGTATCATCAGTTGCCNCAATTTGGGGCAGGTCATCTTTGCTACAAGGCTAAAACGTTTTCTACCATGTGATAGGGGACAATAGGTATTTATCGAGTATTAGTACGATCATTAAAGAAAACAAAGAGCAATTCNCCAGCCCTTGGCCTAAGCGAGCTTGGGCATGGGCTGAGCTGCTTTTACCTTGGACCAGACCTGCGCCTAGCTGACCTTAGTCTGCATGTGAGATCCACGTGGGAGGGACTTTTTGACAGTTGCAGCAATCATGGCTCCCTTGGTTCCCGCACACGCCTCATTTCATGTCGTTCAAGCCTTAAATGCTCAAAGTGGCTAAAAGAAAATGTACAAAACCACCGTTCATCTTCTACGATGTTCACCTTCGTCTCCAATTNGCTTCGTTACAAAAAACAAGTCTTTACAAGGCCAAGTCACTACAAAAGAGGTGTTTTCAATGAAAGTTTTTTAGTTCAGTTCTTATTGCTCCATTGTGAGCCCGGTCAAATCTGTAGGAACCTCTGGATCTTTCTTTGCAAGAACTTTTTTGAAATTTCCTTTTGTAGAAATCTCAAAACCCCCTTCAACATAGATAGCGATATCCTTCTCATTCTGTTCGGCATTAGGAAAGACAAGCATGAATGAATCAAACCCCATGTCAAGAAATATCTTTAGAGTTTGCTCTTGGAAATTGTCAATGTCATCTAGGAAATTGTGCATAGATTCTTTGGCAAGTTTCTCCTTTTTTGCGCCCTGAACTTTCAGAAGATTGGAAAGCTCGAGCTGAGTCTTCAGAACTTCCTCATACTCAACCTTCTACTATTTTTTTTTCTGCCTTAGCCCTTAGCTCGGTAGAGCGGGCTAGATCAAAATTCATTGTTAGTTCAACGACCTTGGCGTCCTGAGATGAAGTCTTCTTCCGAAGCTTGTCCACCTCTCCACTAAGCCCATCTAAGTTTTCCTTGTAACCAACTAGATCAAGGGCTTGGCTATTGAAGCTCCTAAGTAGCTTTTTGTTTTCTATGTCGAGGCCCTTGAGAAAGGCCATAGACTGCTAGAAGAAGGAAAAGGATTAAATGCACACATATACAAAAGAAAAAGAAAAGGTTGGAAGTTACCATACCACAGCTAGGACATGCGTGGCCAGTGAAAAGTTCTCGTGGAAAGGAGTGGTCTTTAATCCGCTTAACTCGTCCATTGGAACCATGCCAAAAAGAGCTTTGGCGGACTCGGACAGTTGCCAAAGAAAGGGAGCCCCAAACCGAGTTAGGGAAGCCTCGCTTTTTCCCTTGGAAGTTGAAGAGTAAGGGATTTGAGAGAGGAAGGATGGAGGAGAGAGTAATGTTTCAACAACCAAAGGAATGAGGAGAGAGCCAGTAGTAGCAAGTATCTCTTCCCTTCCCTTATTTAGAAGCTGACTTCTAAGTTCATGACCCGAGCTCTTTGAAGCCACGTCAAGCAAAGTCAATGTCAATGAAGGAAGGTTAGGCTTTGTCTTCTTGGAAGGAGGAAGGTCGATTTTTTTACCAACTTGCCCCTCTTTCTCTTTTCAATGGTCTTTTTGATCAACTCCTAGCTATGTCCCATCTTGATAGATTCTGTGGGTGGAAGTCTTCGAACAGGATGGCCAAGCTTATATTTGACTAATATTTGACTAAGTTCTCGGCTATAACTAGGTTTGTGAAAGACCTTAAGTCGTGCATTTCAACTCTGGAGGTTTGAGTAATCTCCTTGGCAGACAGGGGAGGTCGGTATCCTACAGCCACAAAATAAATTATTGGTTTCAAAAGAAGTAATAAAACAAGGAAGTACAAAAGATAAATGGCAGTAAGGGTCTAAGCTAGACTCACTAGTATTACAGGGGACGTCCTAGGTACAAGGAACTCAAGGAGTGTTGCCAACGCCTCCTGATTACTTCCAAGTGTCCCCGAAAACAAAGAAAACACTCTCATTCCAACCCTTCTGATAGCTTGGGAGGTCAAAAATTAGTGTCTTGGCCTTTACCATTTTGGAAAATTAAAGGAAGCCAGACGCTGGAGAGGATTTGAGGTGGAAATAGTGTGCGAACTTAGGCAGATTATGGGGAGATTCAATGCCGCATTCTCGTCTATAGACGAGCAAACCTACCAAGAGACCCCATCCATTAGGGGAAAGCACATGTGACAAATGTTGTAATGACAAAGGATATCATTGATGAAGGATGAGCTAAACATCTGAGCCCAGCCTTGAAGGCAGATACAAAGAAATATGTCCTTCCTAGGATGCTAGAGTTGCATCACTCCTCGACAGTAGGAGCATGAAACGACACTACCAAAAGAAACTCATAGAGATCAATGAGCTCTTAAGCCCAACTGTCAGTCATGCGACTTAGGGTTGAGGTTGCACTGCAAGATAGGTCAAACAAGTCATGTGAGACTTTTTTCCTATTTGGAGACAATGAAGGATTAGCCATAGATGTGCCTTCCATGTGTTTTCTCTTCCACTTTCTTAACCTATTAGAAGGCTCAATTTGAAGCTCTTGTTGACTTAAGGTCAATACTATGGGCACTAAACCTAGGGTAGGGGCATCTGAAGGTGGCTCTGGAGGGTTATTCTCTATCGGTGCCAGAGGGAAGTCCTTTGTCTAAATTTCTTCATTAGAGGAATGATTTTTCTCGGAGTGGGAACATAAGCCCCCTTTCCCAGAACCTCCTCAAAAAGATTGGGAATTTGAAGGAGTAGCCTCAGAAGAGGTGTCACAAATAACCCTCACCATAAGGGCACCACACCTCAAATCGTGATAAAGTTGAAGTAGATGAGATCGGCAATCCAAAATAGCCCTAAGTTCAAGACTCTAGAACCTCACCAAGGATAGTCTAAATAACAAGGGGAGATCGATGAAGAAATGCAGAGAGGAGAAAGACCCAGAAGAATACCTAAAGTAGCAAAACATAAGGAATATGAATCGAAACCCAATAGACCACCACTAGGGGGTTAATTATATCCAGATTAAGATAAGAAAGAGGGAACGTATCTAGAGATCAGCTAGGGAAGACAAGAAACTAGTAGGATGGTAAAATTTCGATGAATTTTGAGACACCTCTTCTTTCTTAGTAGGGAAGTCAAATGCCTTTCTTGAATTCAATATTCAAATATCTATTCAGTTTTGGTGGTTCAAATCTGATGACGTATATCAAGGTGGAAGAGCTTAAGGTGAAGGTAATGTGAGATGAGCGTGAATCAGAGCTACGAGGCTCGTGTATGATGCTACCATAAAATATTCAGGGGATTAAGGGGGTGCACACAGTGAAAATATAGTGGTTCAC